TGCGGCGACCAGTGCGGATGACGTACGTGCAGCTAAGGCTACCCCCCCCACCCCCGTGCTGTAAGTACCACTCACGAAGCTCCTGGGAGGACTGAGGGTGCTGCGCGCTCTGGCCAGTGCCAGAGCCTCCACGACCACCACCGCCGCCTCCACCACGACCACCACCGCCTCTGCCGCCTCCACGTCCACTGCCGCCACCACCGCCGCCCCCACCCCGGCCACCTCCGCCGCCGCTGCCTCCACCACCCCCGCCGCTGCCACTAGCCCCTCCAGCCCCGCCACCACCCCCACCGCCGCCACCAACCCCACCACCGCCTCCCCCGCCGTCACCCCCACCGCCCTTGCCTCCCCTGCCCTTGCCGCTGCGGCGCCCACTGGGAGCGGACGCAGAGCCGACTTGCTCAGCACCAAGGAGGTCGACAGCAGCAGCAGAGGCGACAGAGGGGAGCAGGGGGGAGGGGGAACACCCCTCGAAGAAAGGGGTGCGGGGGTCGCCACGAGAGGCACCTACAGCTACAATACTCTTCTCAGCTGCAAGTAGTTCCTTCTCTAGGGCGGTAATGGTGAGCTCAGTGGGGCAGCGAGCTAGGAAGTGGTCCCTGACTGTACGCAGAGTGTGAGGGAGGCGGGTGACTAGGTGGTAGAGAGTGAGCCAGAGCGGGGGAGGGTTGGAGGCAAGAAACTCAGCGGGCATGGCTGCACGGAAGCGGGCATCACTAGTGCGGAGGTGAGTGATGAGGTCAGCGACTGTCTGGAAGGCGGACAGGTCGAGGAACAGGTAGGGAAGCGAGAGGCGGCCTAGTGCAGCTGAGGCCGGGGAGGAGTAGCGCGCAACTACAGCAGTGTACAGGGCGTGCGCAGTCTGATGCTGGCCAAAGTGCTCGCGCTCGTCTACTGGCAGGGAGTTGCGAATAGCAAAGCGGGCCTGGGCATCGCGAGTCTGCCACTGTGAGCAAGCAGTAGCAGCAGCAGTAGTAGCAGGAGTAGGGACTGTGCCTAGTGCGTGATCGTACAGCGAGATATCCTCTCTGGCAGTGAGTTGGAGGAACAGATGCAGATCATCGAGCCAGGTCTCAAACTTAATCGGGCGGCCCTCAGTATCGAACGAGAGAACTGGAGGGCTAGCCATAGCTGAAGTAGCAGTAGCAGAAGTAGCAGTAGCAGTAGCAGCAGCAGCAGCAGTAGCAGCAGCAGTAGCAGTAGCAGTAGCAGTAGCAGTAGTAGTAGCAGTTCAGTACTGGTGCCGCTGCTCAGGTAAGGAGGGCGCGGCTCGGCTAGGACGGCGCGGCTCGGCTAGGGCGGCGCGGCTCGGCTAGGGCGGCGCGGTTCGGGTCGGGTCGCACAGCGCGGCTCGGCCGTAGAGGGGCGAGCGCGGGAGGGGCCGTGAGAGGCAAGCGCGGGGGGCCGTTCGGGGGCCGGTCGGGGCTAGCGCGAGGCCATTCGGGGCCGTAGGAGGCTAGCGCGGGGCCTTAAGGGGCCGTGGGAGGCTAGCGCGGGGCCTGACGGGGCCGTGGGAGGCTAGCGCGGGGCCTGAAGGGGCCGTGGGAGGCTAGCGCGGGGCCTTACGGGGCCGTGGGAGGTTAGCGCGGGGGCCACACGGGGCCGTTCGAGGCTAGCGCGGGGCCAATCGGGGCCGTAGGAGGCTAGCGCGGGGCTGTAGGTGGGCCGTTCGGGGCTAGCGCGGGGCCGTAGGGGGCCGTGAGAGGCTAGCGCGGGGCCGACGCGGGGCCTTAAGGGGCTAGCGCAGGGTCTTAAGACGGGGCCGTGAGAGGCCGTAAGGGGCGACGCGAGGGGCCGTGAGGGGCCTGAAGGGGCGACGCTAGGAACGAGGCGCACGAGGGCGCTAGGAAAAGGCGGCGCACGAGGGCGCGGCTAGCGGAAACGGTGGGCCCTAACGTTCCGGTCCTAGGTGGAACCTAGGCTCGTAATACCATGTCAGAATGAGAAACAGGAATGGGTGTGACTAGCAGGAACAACAGTACAAATATGAAACCCTAAACTGGTGTACCCCCTATGGTGTGACCCACTACAGCCTAGAACCACACAAACATATAATGTTTGACAATATGGCCAGGTACCGTTGAAGAATCCAAGAAGATTCGCGCCTTCCATCAGGAGTTCAAACTCGAAGCTCCAAGAGTAGAAGTCCTTCCCGTTGAATGGTGTGGATGTGTGCAGTCCCAGGATGTTGTTGAACTGTGCTTGTACTTGCAGGACTTCTTCGGTGTCTCGTTTGATGGCGGGAAGAGGGGTCGCTGGATGGCGAGGCGGCATGAACGTGAAGGAACCAGGTGAGACCGAATTTGGTCTTTGTTGATTATGTCGTCCGAACGATGAGTTGTCAATACTCATTGGTGCCGCTCCGTTGTTTACGCTGTTGCTGTTTGCAGGTTGTGAGGACTGCTGCTGCGACATGAAGTTGAAGAACTCCTCCATTAAGCTTGGGTTGAAGATTGTTGGCGGCGCTACTGGCGCTTGAGTAGAACGTTCCGTCGCTTCCGGCGTTAATCCGGGCGTTGTTCCTCCTTCGGTCTGCAACTCGGAGACCGGGGGTAGAGTAGATCCCGTAGATGATCTTCTTTCTTTGCCACTTGCCATGTCTTGTCTTTCTTGAATGAAGATTGAACTTCTTGGTTGCTTGCAGATCGGTAGCCTGGAAGAGGCTTAGTGACGAGAGCCTTTGTTCTCTGACTGCTCTCATACCATGTTGGGCTGAGGATTTCAGCCTTAGGATCTTTGCAGAGAATAGGCTAGTAGGTGCTAGAGTAGCACAGCGGAAGTCCTTTGAGTGAATGTACTTGTGCTGGTATGTGAGAACAAGTAATTGATTAAAGCAAAGAGCATACAGGAATATATAGGAAAGATAGATTACAGGAAGCGGTTATGTTTATCGAGACGCGTAACGCTTCGAATATCGAGGTGGTTACTGTTCACTGAAGCGTCGCTTGCTGTTACGTAACCTCCAGGCGGTTACAGCTCGCAACCTCCAGTTGCGGTTTGATGTGGTACGCGCCTTTTTCGACTTCATACCCCTTTTGTTGTGCTTCAGTATCGGGTGAGGTTCGATACTACAGAAACGCACTAAGTCATGCGTTTATATTCCCAACAATGCGGAACAGGTCTGTAAACGTCTCGTCCGACATCGATGCCATCTCATCCTCCCACACGTCTAGTCTCCGCCGCCGTAGTTGGTGGTTCCGCGTGCGCAGGTCACTTCGGGACTCTACACATGTCTCTTCCTGCTCCGCGGCGTCGATGTGCTCTAGCAGTTGAATGCAGGCCTTCGTGGCACAGTCTAAGAAGGAGCTGAAGTAAAACGCATGCCATACTATTAGCAGGCATGTGTTGAAATTAGGAGGTCGCTAGAGTAGCGGAAATACTCTAGGAAATAACGACGTCCCAGCGGCGGGGCTATGGTCACTCAGAGGTAGCTCTCCTGGCTTGTAACTTGGTGCCAAAGCGGCGGCCGAGGGTAGGCCGGACACAAGCTTGAGAATTGTGTAATGATAGCATGGCAGTACATTGAGTTATATAGGAAACATAGCAGGGAGGCAGTTACCAAGGCGCAACTGTATTACAGTTGCGCTGTAACGTTTCAGTTGCCCAGTTACTGGCGAGACCTTTCAGCTTCGGCAAGGGCGCTTCATTCTGCCGCGCCTCCAGGGTGGTTTCGCGTACTGTAGACACTGCCTCTTGCTCAATTCGACCCTTCGGCTGCCACGCGGGTCGCAACCACTGTACGCGGTTGCGCCCCTGCAGTTCGATACTTGAGTCAACACCCCCGCTATTGAGGGCTTCGCTTCTGCACTTCGAACAGTGCACTGCAAGATAAATAACACACAAATATATTTCCAACACTCCCCTCCACTGTTGGAAGTGTAGAATCCAAGAGAGATGAAATTCTCCATGTTGAAATTCTGAAGTCCTCGTCAGGGACTTCACCGGTACGCCTTGAAATGCGTCTTGCCAAGTCGCCCAAAATTATGCGACGGCGCGTTGAAGATTTCCTCCACAAAATTCTCCGTGGGTAGTGGCAGGTTCTGACCTGCTCCAGGAGATGCTCCTGGTGATGATAAAGGTGGTGAGCCAAACTGAATGAAGCTGCTCCCACAGGTCCAAGTGTTTGAACGCTTGCTCGTGATACCATGTTGGGCTGAGAATTTCAGCCTTAGGATCTTTTGCAGAGAATAGGCTAGTGGGTGCTAGAGTAGCACAGCGGAAGTCTTGAGTGAATGTACTTGTGCTGGTATGTGAGAACAAGTAATTGATTAAAGCAAAGGGCATACAGGAATATATAGAAAGGATAGATTACAAGAAGCGGTTATGTTTATCGAGACGCGTAACGCTTCGACTATCGAGGTGGTTACTGTTCACTGAAGCGTCGCTTGCTGTTACGTAACCTCCAGGCGGTTACAGTTCGCAACCTCCAGTTGCGGTTTGATGTGGTACGCGCCTTTTCGACTTCGTACTCCTTTTGTTGTGCTTCAGTATCGGGTGAGGTTCGATACTACAGAAACGCACTAAGTCATGCGTTTATTTTCCCAACACTTTTGATAGTTTGTGCGTGCTTTTATCTGTGAACGATTGTTGCTTGGTTGAGACTATGTGGGTTGTTGGGTTTGTATTTTGTGCAATACGTTTTACACTGATGTGGCAATGTCGCATATTGAACGGATCGCGGTTCTCATGGGACGTCACAATTTGATGCCCACGGTTTCGCGGCACTGTGCCACATCATCCAACTTTCAAGTTCGCACACAACTGCAAACCGGCAAGTTTATCTGACAAGAGGTTTCTCGCTCCAGCCGAATAACAGGTGAATTTAGCGAGGCTGATAAGAGGCGGCCCTGATAAGGGGCCGTAGGAACATGCCCTAAGGGCTTTTCTCAGCCCAACAATCAGCCACTTATGACAACAATGCCCAATCAATAATGACAAAAGAAAAATATTTCTCAGTTTATGATGTATGTTGGGAACATGTTACATGTAGAATAATACCTTCAAGTAAAGAGGTCAGATCCTTCATGCATGATGCGGCGGTGATAATGAGCAAAGAACCAGAGCAAGTCGTCAAAGCAGTGGCAGTCACTTGCGTGTGCCCCCCTCATCGCACTACACTCACCCTGCTCCTGCAAGCTTGCTGCCGGCTCTTCTCCACCCATGGGCTCTTCTGCACCGCCATTGGCCACCCTCTGGAGAGTGGCTGCTTCCCCATGAACCCCATTCCGGGAATCTCTATCGGGCATGGTTCTATCGGGAATCTCTTCTGCAGTGTCCCTCTGCCTGCCCTCATCTCCTTCATCATTTCCTTCTCCCCTCCCCTTGACATCCAACGCCCTCCCTTGCCTCTCCCCACCTCCCTCCTGTCCGCACCTCACTCCCACCCCCCCCTCCATCTCCACCCTCCCCCTCTCTTCCTCCATCTGCTCCCCCTTCTCCCACACTCCTCCACTCCCCTTCTCCCTCCCATCCCCTCTCCGCTCATCCCCTCCACATACCATCCTCCCCTCCACCTCACACCCAATACCCTGCGAGTTACCCACATAGCTCCCCGCGTGCCAGCAGCGGCAGAGCCAGAGCAGAGCCTCGACGGTGCTGACAGCGTCTGGGGCCACACCGCGCGTGTGGTAGCGCCAGAAGGCCGAGCGGATGCTGCTGGGCAGCCGCACGTGCGGCAGGGACGCCAGCTGCGGGAGGGCGAGCAGCGCTGATGCGCCCTTCCACTGCGGTTGACGGGGGAGAGGAGGGGGAGAAGGGGTTGAGGATGAGAAGGATGGAGATTTTATGTGGGTGTGTGCGGGGAAACGGGGGGAGTGTAGGGAAGTGAGTGCGGAGGGAGGGAGGGGCGTGGATGGAGAAGCGAGAAACAAAGAAACAGGGGAAACAGAAAGCCAAGGAAAGAGTGAGAAAAACAGAGAGAAGTCATGCCCAGTCCATTACAGCAGCACTCCTACACATAGCTTCTTGTGTTCTTGTCTCTCCCTATCCATCACACCTCCCCACGAATCCCTCCCCACCATTCCCTCCCCCCTCGCCCCTCGCCCACCTTCCCTTCCAGCAGCACCACGCGCTTCACTCTCCGCCGCTCCTCCGCGCTCATCTCGCCCACCTCCCTGGCCTTCGCACTCGGGAACAGCACCACCGTATCGCGCGCATCGAACTGGGGGAGGCGGCGCGCATGCACGTCCGGCCAGCGGTGCAGCGTGACGTGCGCGGGCGCCAGCACGGCAGCATGCACGCCCGTGCTCATGCTGGCTCGCTCCGTGCGATGGAAGATCATGTGCGCGTGGAATGGGAGGGCCACTCGCGGGGTGGAGTGCGGAGGGGTGAACGCCTGGGTATCACAGGCAGGGACGGGGGAGGAGAGGGGTGGGGAGGAGTGGGAGGGGAGAGGAGTGGCTAGGCGAAACATAAGTTGGGGTTGGAGATTGAAGGGAAGAAGGCAGAGAATTTAAGAGTTTGGGAGGAGTGGTAAGAAAGTTGATGGGGTGAGGAATTTGGAGGGAGCCGGGGTGCGGGGGAAGGGGGAGGGGGGTGGAGGGAGGAGAAAATGGGAGTGGCGGCGGGAAGGGAAAAGAGGGGGCACTGCGCGCGACTTATTAGTCGGCTCAAAAGCCATCATTCCCACTTTCCCAACCATCCGTCGTACCCGGAGGCAGTTGAAGCAGAAGTAATGTTGCGACTTGCCACACCCGGGGCACTGCGTGCGCGACTCCAGCTGCTCCAACGGCTCCTGTGACGAGAGACGCAGGTCTGACGTCAGCGGCGGGAGCGTCCATTCCGGAACGCGCCACGACATGAGCAATTTGCCGTCGTCGCCGCGTTTGCGCGCCTGGCGCGGTTGGCGGTGCGCCGAGTGCGGACCCGATATAAGGTCGCACGAGTCCAGCTCCGATAACGCGACTAGCGGACCGGCTTCGTCGGGAATCGACGCAGCGGCAGGACAAGACTGCTCAGAATCACCACCGTCGGATGAGTCAATCTTGCGGGACATAGTATCTACGGTTGTGGACAGTCCGCGTGATTTCGAGGTATCTACCACTTCCGGGGAAGAAGAGCGGACCGCTATGATCGAGGAGGCTGGAAGATCGGCAGCGTGGGAGCTTGACGAGCAGGATCCGGAACCTGCGGCTTTTGCGGCGAGTCGGACGGCGTCGTGCGCCATTGTGGGTAAGGATGAGGCGCGGGGAGTACCGGGAGTGAGCAGTGGGGCAAGTGGGAGTGGCTGGGTGTTGGCATCGGTGATGTTACTATCGGCGGCGATTTGTACAATTTGCACGGGATGTTACAGCTGGTTTGATCATTTCGAATCCTCGCTAGCACCCGTTTTCCGTTTCCCAAAGTAACACCATGGGTGCTTGTTGAAATAATCAAATGTTGCTGGTCAAACAGCAGTAAAAAAAGTTTGGCTCAGGACAAGCCCAAAAAAGTGCCAGCTGGCATGCCTGTCACCTACCTAAATCAAACAAAAAACTCTAACCTCTAAAGCAGCAGGCAGCTCATGCCGCTGGCAATGCACATGCCCCATCTTCAAGGCGCATTTAGGGCATGTTCCTACGGCCCCTTATCAGGCCAACCTCTTATCAAGCTCGCGTCAAAACACACTGAAAATTTCATAAACCTAAAAACCCTCGCTACTTTTACCAGGCAAGGCTGACAAGAGGTTTGCCTGATAAGAGCGTAGGAACATGCCCTTAGCCTCTACATCGGAGAACCTAACCACAAATAAAGGGAGGGAACGCAAGAATACAGCACAACCGCCGACCTCAAAGCTCTGGCCATCCCCAATGGCCCTAGAAAGCTCTGAAGCCATGGCGAATACCGCCAGCCGAGGGACTCGACACAAGAGCCTTCCCGGCAGCAGCAGCAGCAGCCGCCGCAGCAGCACCCATGGCTGCAACAGCAGGCCGTGGGGAAAATCTAGGCGAAAATATACTATCCCCGGATGAATCGGGGCGGCCGGCATGGCTTGTCCAACTCAACGTGGAATGAGAAGAGGTGGGGGACAGGATGTGCACACTCAAACTCTCATTCCCTCCCAAGCCGTCCGTGGCATCACTGCCTGTCTCCAGCAGTGGAAGGTTAAGACACGAGTTGCTCTCCCCCTTTGTCTGCGCTCCCTCTCTCAGGCCCCTGCGCACATTGATCACCGAATACTGGCCAAGCCTGCAATACGCCACTCCTCCTGAAGCCCCTTCCCCACCCTGACCCTCCAGCAGAAAACCATCACCCTTGGATGAGCCCGAAGCAGTCACCGCAACTCCTCCGCTCCTGCTTTTATCCGAGCCTAGTCCTGCGGCCCGGCAGCGCTGCCGGAGCTGCATAATCTCCTCTTCCATCATCGCAATCTTCTGCTGCTGCAGCAGCAGCAATCGCCACGCAGCATCATGCAGGCTCGGCTCCGGGCCTCCAGGTGCGACCATGCTTGTTGCCGGGGCCACGCCTCCGCCACCAGTGCTGCTGCTGTGTACCATTCCCGCGCTGCTGCCATTGCTTCCACTGCTGCTGCTGTTGGCTGCTCCTACTGACATGCTGCGAGAGCAGCCTCTACTGCCGGCCCCACTCTGCCCACCAGCCACAGCATCAGGAGCAGCGGCAGCAGCAGCAGCAGCGGAGTGCGGGAGTGGTTGGGCAGTGCCTGGCAGGTGGAAAGCATGCCTGGCATCACCATCTGAGACACTGGCATGAACAGCAGCAGACGCCTCACCAGAAGCAGCAGCAGCAGCAGCGAAGTGGTCTAAGCTGCCATCCAGAGCTGTTGCCATGTGTTCGTGCCTTATCACGGGCATGGTTCCCCGGCGAATCAGCGACCGAGTGCCGCCTCCCACCTTGCTGCCGGACTTGCCACTGCCAGCCGCACTGCTAGAACCAGCAGCAGCAGCACCAGCGGCAGCAGCAGCAGCAGCAGAAGCCGTCACAACCGTACCTATTGTTGTCATGCTGTTCCCATTCCCGCCAGTGGTGAAGCTGCTGCTGCTGCTGTTGCCGCTGCTGCTCTTGGCACGCAAGCCAAAGAGGCCGCGGCGGCCATGCAGAGAGGAGTAGTTGAAGCTGCTAGCGATGCGAGAGATGAAGCGCGAGCGCGCAGCAGAGGCGATCCAGCCACGCGACACAGAAGCAGCCGGCGACACCGACCCATCCACCAGCTCCATCGCCGCCCATGCTGACGCCGCCGCTGCTGCTGCCTCGTCCTCCTCGTCAACACTGCAATCGTCAAGAGCGGCAGCTGGAGCAACTGGATTTGCGGAATAAAGAGCCGGATCTTGAGCAGCAAGAGATTCTGAAGAAGCGGCGCTGGAAATAGCAGATTCAGTAGCTTCTGAACCGAGTGCGGCGGACGCGGAGGCAGAATCTGACAGAGCCGGGCTGTCTGAGGCAGCAGCGGCAGTTGGGGCAGTAGGAGCAGGCGCAGGAGAAGAGGGAGTGAGGGACGAGGGGGGGCGAGGGGGCGTGGTGGCCGGCGTGCGGCGGGCGTAAGGCGAGGAGCGCGCGGACGAGGAGTGAGCGGGCGAGTCGTAATGGCGGCGGCTGGGCGTGCGCAGACTGACTAGGAACTCGAGGTCCAGGGGGCCGTTCTCTAGATCGAACAACTGGCAGGGGGAGCGAGGGAGGGAGGGATTGCGACGGGAAGAATATGTGAGGTGCAGTGGGTGGGTGTGAGAGGGCTTTAGGATGATGGGGATATACACTGTAAGTTTAAGGGACGGACGGACGGACGGACGGGCGGACGGGCGGGTTTAGAGCACACGAGAGCGATTCCCTTTGAGTCGCCTTACCTCCTGCAGGATGCGGCCCGACGGTGTCTTCTGGTGGAAGATCGGACGGCGAGTCTCCGTCGCCTTGGCCGATGCGTCCTTGCCAGGCGGCGTATTCGCGCTGTCGCCTGTCACCCACGGCGGCCTGCCGCCCAGATCCGTCCACTCCTCGAACAGCGAGCTCCCCGCTCTCCCAGCGCGACCGCCGCGCGTCGTCTCACGAAAATCCTCGCCTCTGCCGTCGCCGCTGCCACCACTGATAGTAGACGATGAGAGGTCGAGGCATGCTGACGTGGCGCGCTGCCGCACAAACCCGGGTCGCGCACCCGAGGCCGCCGCAGCGGCTGCTCCGCGTTCGAAATATCCTTCCTCTTCGCTGCCTCCCGAAGGGCACCGCTGGTCTTTTTCAGAAGCGGTAACTAATCCGACGGCATCTTGCGACTTACAGTTGCAAACAGAGACTGAGCGATCCGTTGGAGCAAGGCTAGAACTAACTGGCTGGTTTGGAGCAGGAATGCCGCCCGAGGAGCCACTAGTTGTAGCGCCACTTCCGCTGGCGTCGCCTCCGCGCCGCTCCGTTTGCGCGGCCATGGCCGCTGTTCCGCGGCCTCCTTCGGCGGCGGGGTAACCTTGACGGCGACGCGGCAAGCGCGGCGTTGGCACGTCAGCAGCCGCAGGGTGGTTCATCCACGCGTCGAAGCGCACCTCGCCATGGCGCAGCAACTCCGAGTCGCTTGTGCCAGTAAGGCCTGCTGACGTGTCAAGAAATTCCGCGGGTACCTCCAGCAGCGGTGGAGCCGGCCGCACACAGTCATCGGGCGCGCCGGCCGCCGAGACGGAGCGCGAACCGAGGGAGTCGAAGAAGCCCGCCATTTTGGGCCCGGGGAAGCGCGACAGAGAAGCCGCAGCGTGCGCGCCGTGCCGCATCGTGCTTGCGGCCTCGGCCTGGAACCCGCCTGACCCCGCAATCGCTGCCGCCGTCGACGGCAAGTACGTCGTGAGCGACGTCTGGCGCAGCAGAGGCGACGCCATTGAATGCTGCTGCGCGGTCCGCGCGGCGTTGGTACGGAAGCAGCAGCTGTCCCGATCGAGTGTGACTACCGCCGGAGTGTCGTCGCCTTCAGCTTCTGACTCCGGCGATGTCGTGAACTTGTCGCGGAAGTCAGTAACCCGCCGGTCGTCGTCGCCAGGACATTCTCGTGGAAATGAGGTCCCTTCCGCCGTTGCTCTGCCGCAAGCGCCGGCGCCCGCTGACAAATCATGCCGACCGACATGCTGTGCTGTCCGTGCGTCGGACATCGAGGCGCTTCGCAAAAGGTCGCGCGCCGCGTCAACATCAGAAGAGCGACCCGAAGGCGGTGATGGGTCTTCAGGCGAGGACGGAGCTGCCACTATCGCCTCGAACACGTGCTGCGGGGCGACCGGGCCGCGGCGACCGCCGCGAAGGCGGCTCGAAACCTCCGCCGCATGCACGAAATCGCTGGAGCTGGTTGCGCCAAAAGCGGCGGGTTTTCCGGAGCCGCCGGCGGTGATGCGCCCGTGGAGCTGGCCGGCAGACTGCACATGATGGTGGTGAGCAGTACAAGAGCGGCAGACTGTTGTAGCGGCCGGCTGGCTCCGCTCGGGGCTTGTCGTTCGCGCACGTTCGAAAGGTGGCGTCGTGGGCGAGAATAACTCGTTCTGCGACACTGGTGGTTCCGACTGCGGCAGCGGCGGAGGCCGCTTTTGCGGCTGGGGTGACAGAGTGGAGTTGTGGAGAGGCGACTTGGTGTGGACAAGGCATTGGGGGTCGATTAGCGCGTAAGTTTCGCGCGACGATAAGCGGCTGTTGGCGTCTAACGACCGTCGGCTGCCCGCGCGGCGGAGCTCGTGGTTCGGAAACTCCGCGAGCACGCGATCGGCGGAGATTCGCTGCTCGTACAATCGCACACTGTCGTCGGGCAGGAGGACGATCACTGACGACGCGTTGAGCGACGGACAGGGGGAGAGCGAGGGAGAAGCTGTCCCAAGCGACTGCTGCAGCGCGGGGGAGCGGCAGGAGAAGGAGGAAGGCGAAGAGAGGAGAGACGAGGCCGTAGATGACTTCTCAAACGTCGCCATGGCGACTGCGTGTTGACAATTGTGATAATACCTGTTAGAGAGAGCAGTGAGGTTGTCCCAGGCAGATGAATTTGAAAATGGTTGAACAAACATGAATGTGATTGCCTGGAAATCTGGATGGCGAGGTCAGCGAGAAACGTCGTTGCATTGAACAATAAACGCGTTTTGCTTACCAAGTGACACTCAGTGGATCTGGAGAACAAGACTACTGTACGGCATATTAAAACGGTGAAATTGGCGTTAGGGAGAGAAGAGGACGGCTGTTGTGTTGATGGGGTCAGCGACTCAAGAGCGATGGAGAAATAACACCGAGTGGAACGGAAGAAGCCAAGGGAGGTGAATTGTCAGTTTTTTTCTGCTTGTGGGAGCACTAATGGGACATACGACACAGTCGCGCACAGCGCAGGAAGTAGCAGGCATCGAAGCAATTGGAATTGGGAAGCAGATCCTTCCTGCAGCCTCTCCTATGCGGCATGTTTTCTCCTAAAAAGTGTGTATGCGTAGATGTTTAGGGTAATTCCTGTCTAGATTCCACAACCTGAAAGCTCGAATGTCCCATGCAAACTCGTCATTGAATATTGACGAAGTATGGGAACGGAAGGATTTTCTCATGCATACATTATGGAAAACAGCTGTAACCACGGAAAGCGCTGCTTTTTCAAGGAAACAAATGAGTAGCAACTGCTGGTTCGCCACCCAGTCACGACTGCGGGCAGAGTTACTGTATATGCATCCACCAAAAAACCAAATAAAAACAGGTGTTGCAACCCGGGTTCGAAGGAAGTCATGATATGACACAAGATGGCCCACGACGCCATGACACCTTGCAACATTCTAGTCCTGCCTAGTCGCCAGACTGCTTGTTTGGCGTGCTTCTTGTACACAGCATGGTAAATCTCAACGGAATGGAGGGGGCGATGAAACGACAAAGACGAGACGAGAAAACGACAAACTACCCGGTGCAAAAAAAACCCGACAAAAAGCCCCCAGAAGTCGACTCACGCAACTTGACCGACTGCTTCCCTCATGGCCAGAATTATCCTTAGAGTGTGGAACATCCTTTTGAACAAGGGGTTGGTCGCCCAGCTGCGACAGCAACCACTGTTGCGACCATCGCCATTGACCTACGACACAGAGTGACGAAAACTGCAGGATGCATGCACGTTCCACAGGCCATGCATGTTGGTCGCCCCACTTTCGGACCTCGCGGATAGGACAAGAAGAGGCGACGTCAGGAGAAACACGCGACAATCAACCGGGTGTAGTTGTGAGTGACGTGCTGCAATTCAACTCGCAGAAAGGTGTTTGACGAAGTCGGTGCCTTTAGTGTACCATCGCGACTCCGTATTTCTGGGCGACCAAGTGTTTCCGATTTGCAATGTGGGGTTTTGCAAGTTACATGGCGAAAACCGTCGCAAAAATTTGACGATTGAATGTCCGACCAAAGAGCCTACCAAACAGTTGTTCAAAAGGATGTTCCACGCTCTTACCACTACAGTATTGGTTGAGCACTGCTGAACACTCCAGATCTGTGGAAAAGCGGGGCAGAACGCGTCTCGTGTCCAAATGAGCAACGGCTTGACGAAATTAACTAAATAACCTGTACACCCTCATTCTCGCCACATTGTTACGGGTGCAATGAATCGAAGTAGCTAGAATTGCACTAAGGTGTCAAACGAGTACAAAGATGTGAGCGAAGGCATAAGCGAACATTTATATGCGAACATGCAAACGGTAACGCGGTGCGTGCGAGCTAGCTAGTGCTACGCTGGCAGCGAGGCTCGGGCCAGTCCCGAAGCGTAGGCCGACACGGCCGGGCCAGCAGTGCGAGGTTTGGCAAAACAGTGCGCGCGAAGTTGGCGAAGTCCCGTTAGCAGTAACGGGCGAACACCAGCTGTTGCTGTACGCGATGTAGTCGGGCTCCGTAAGGAATGCCGAGAAAATTCCTTACACTACCCCCCCCCCCCCCTCAAGAAGCCCCCTCCGCTACGCGAGTGCGTGTAGATCGCGGAATCCCCGGCTCCTCAGGTTAACTTGCAGGGCAGTGTGGTTTTCAATGTTAGCCAGGGGCACCCAGCTATCTTCAGTTGGCGTGCGGTCCTTCCAGCGAACGAGGAATTCAATCCTCCTGATTCCCGTGGGGTGGCGAATCCGATGGCTCAGGATTTTTTCGGGCGCGATGATCGGCTCCGATGCAGGGCGAGTCATGGAATGCGGGCGGTGACGAGGCTGTTGGTTGGTGGTTGGGATGTATGGGCGAAGTAGGCTGACGTGGAGCGATGGGTTGATGTACCAGTCGGTCGGTAACAGTAGGTGCGCGGTTACTGGCGTGATCATGTCGCTGATTTGGAATGGGCCACAGTAGCGCGGTCGAAGTTTCGGTACGTCGGGCAGTCACAGATTTTGCGTGTCGAGCAGTACGTAATCCCCTGACTGGTATGTGACTGGGCGGCGGTGGCGGTCAGCGTTGCGCTTAGCGATGACGTTTGCTTTTTTAATTGCTTCTGCGGCTCTGGTGCGAGCAGCATGCAGAATTTCGGCGAATTGCTATGCTCGTGGTGTTGGGTTGTCCAGACTCGGCGTCATGGGCACTGTAGGATTTTGCCCGTAGTTCAGGTAGAATGGGGACTGCTGCATCATCGCTGACGTGGCGTTGTTCTACGCGAACTCGATCAGCGTCAGCTGCTGCTCCCAAGTCGTGGGGTCGTCGCACGTGGCACGAATCAACTGCTCCATCGTCTGATTCGTCCGCTCCGTTTGACCGTCGGTCTCGGGGTGGTACGACGAACTGAACTGTAGCCTGGTCCCGAACTGCTCCCAGAGGTTCTTCCAGAAGTTGCTGGTGAACTTCGTGTCCCTGTCGCTGATAATCGCTGCTGGTATCCCGTGCAGGCGAACAACGGTTGCGATGAACATGCGAGCGGTCTCCTTGGCTGAGATCGACTTTTTGCACGCAGCGAAGTGTGCCATCTTCGTCAACCTGTCAACAACGACCATCACCGCGTCGTTACCCCCAAGGTTCGAAGGTAACCCTGTGACGAAGTCCATGGTAACGTGCTGCCAAGCGCGCTCGAGCGGTGGTATCGGCTGCAATTGACCCGCCTTCCGCTTCCTCGAGCTCTTCATCATCTGACACGTGGGGCACGAGCCCACGTGCTGCTGCACGTCGGTCAGCAGCTCCGGCTGCACGTCGGTCAGCAGCTCTGGCCAGTAGTAATACCGATGCAGTTGCTATCGCGTTTTCTCTACCCCAAAATGTTCCGAGGTGATTCCGTCATGTGCCTCCTGCAGTAACAGTGTTAAAAGTAGAAGAAAGAAGAGGGTTTGACTAGCAAGAATGGGGATACAAATAGCAAACCCTAACAGGGTTGTACTCGCTTTAGAGCACCCCACTACAGGCTAGATGAGAACATTCTGACACACCCCCATAGCCAAAGTGGGGTGTAATCAGCAGAGCAAGCAAAGCAGTACAAGCTCAGGGTGGATCACAATGTCACCACACATTCTGAGCACAAGTTCAAGAAGCAATAGTTTAAAGTTAAGAATTATGAGCAAAGCTAGAGGCTATCGCAGAGGGCAAGTGAGGAGGAGGAGGCGAGAGTGAGAGGAAAGGAGATAGGAGGCGACGGATGAAGCTGCAGACACACGGGCAACAGGAGGCAGACTGGCACAGCGGCTACCGGACGAAGCCCCCGGACTACAGGGGTAACTGGCCCCGCGGCTAAAGTAGCGGCAGACGAGCAACGGACCCACGGGCGGCTGGCACAGCTGGCTACGACTGAGCTACCGGACGAAGCCCCCGGACTACAGGTGCTGCTAGCGACACAGCGGCATCCTTCATTCAGCTCCCCAAACAGTCTCACCCCCCCTTGCACACACCCCCTACTGCACCCCTAGGGTCACTCACACCCCACCCCCTAGCACGACTCCAGCGACTCCCACACACCCACCCCCCTCAGCGGCAGCTGCAGCAGTGGGAGACGGAGGAGGAGGAGGAGCAGGGGAGACCACACACCCGCCACCCCCATACTCGCCACCCCCTACTCGCCACTCCCCAAACCCTAACTCAGGCAGGGCGGGATGGCGGGTAGGGAGGTAACGGGGGAGGGGGAGGGGGGGGGGGGGGGGGGGGGGAAGCGACGCGCGGCCGCCCAGGGCGCCAAGACAGGCAGCAGAAAGGGGGGGGGGGGGGGGGGGCG